CATATGACCTTGACCTCGGATTTTTTTAATGTGCTACTGCTTCTCGATGAGACGAACACAGTGGTGGCCGAAATTTTGAAATCGGACCATAAACAAAGATTCTACAGGGTACGGGGACTAAAATTAACGTTTAAAGTGACCTTGACCTTGACCTATGACCTTGACCTCGGATTTTTTCGAATGTGCTACTGCTTCTCGATGAGACGAACACAGTGGTGGCCGAAATTTTCAAATCGGACCATAAACAAAGATTCTACAGGGTACGGGGACTAAAATTAATGTTTAAAGTGACCTTGACCTTGACCTATGACCTTGACCTCGGATTTTTTCGAATGTGCTACTGCTTCTCGATGAGACGAACACAGTGGTGGCCGCAATTTTCAAATCGGACCATAAACAAAGATTCTACAGGGTACGGGGACTAAAATTAACGTTTAAAGTGACTTTGACCTTGACCTATGACCTTGACCTCGGATTTTTTCAAATGTGCTACTGCTTCTCGATGAGACGAACACAGTGGTGGCCGAAATTTTCAAATCGGACCATAAACAAAGATTCTACAGGGTACGGGGACTAAAATTAACGTTCAAAGTGACCTTGACCTTGACCTATGACCTTTACCTCGGATTTTTTCAAATGTGCTACTGCTTCTCGATGTGACGAACACAGTGGTGGCCGAAATTTTCAAATCGGACCATAAACAAAGATTCTACAGGGTACGGGGACTAAAATTAACGTTTAAGGTGACCTTGACCTTGACCTATGACCTTGACCTCAGATTTTTTTCGAATGTGCTACTGCTTTTCGATGAGACGAACACAGTGGTGGCCGAAATTTTCAAATCGGATCATAAACAAAGATTCTACAGGGTACGGGGACTAAAATTAACGTTTAAAGTGACCTTGACCTTGACCTATGACTTTGACCTCGGATTTTTTCCAATGTGCTACTGCTTCTCGATGAGACGAACACAGTGGTGGCCGAAATTTTCAAATCGGACCATAAACAAAGATTCTACAGGGTACGGGGACTAAAATTAACGTTTAAAGTGACCTTGACCTTGACCTATGACCTTGACCTCAGATTTTTCCAATGTGCTACTGCTTCTCGATGAGACAAACACAGTGGTGGCCGAAATTTCTTAATCGGACCATAAACAAAGATTCTACAGGGTACGGGGACTAAAATTAACGTTTAAAGTGACCTTGACCTTGACCTATGACCTTGACCTCGGATTTTTTCGAATGTGCTACTGCTTCTCAATGAGACGAACACAGTGGTGGCCGAAATTTTCCGATAGCTCCAAAAATGAAGATTTTATAGGGTACGGCGATTTTTAAATTGACCTTGACCTTGACCTATGACCTTGACCTCGGATTTTTTTTAAATGTGCTACTGCTTCTCGATGAGACGAACACACTGGTGGTCGAATTTTTCAAATCGGACCATAAACAAAGATTCTACAGGGTACGCAGTATTTTGACCTCTCAAGGTCAAACGGTTTGACCTAGGAAAAAAAGGTCACCATTTTCGAACTCAGCGTGCCATGGGCTATCTGTATGCAAATTTTGAGCGAAATCATTACTCGAATTTGAATCCGAATTTTAACGTTTAAAGTGACCTTGACCTTGACCTATGACCTTGACCTCGGATTTTTTCAAATGTGCTACTGCTTCTCGATGAGACGAACACAGTGGTGGCCGAAATTTTTAAATCGGACCATAAACAAAGATTCTACAGGGTACGGGGACTAAAATTAACGTTTAAAGTGACCTTGACCTTGACCTATGACCTTGACCTCGGATTTTTTCGAATGTGCTACTGCTTCTCGATGAGACGAACACAGTGGGGGCCGAAATTTTCAAATCGGACCATAAACAAAGATTCTACAGGGTACGGGGACTAAAATTAACGTTTAAAGTGACCTTGACCTTAACCTATGACCTTGACCTCGAATTTTTTCGTATGTGCTACTGCTTCTCGATGAGACGAACACAATGGTGGCCGAAATTTTCAAATCGGACCATAAACAAAGATTCTACAGGGTACGGGGACTAAAATTAACGTTTAAAGTGACCTTGACCTTGACCTATGACCTTAACCTCGGATTTTTTCAAATGTGCTACTGCTTCTCGATGAGACGAACACAGTGGAGGCCGAAATTTTCAAATCGGACCATAAACAAAGATTCTACAGGGTACGGGGACTAAAATTAACGTTTAAAGTGACCTTGACCTTGACCTATGACCTTGACCTCGGATTTTTTTGAATGTGCTACTGCTTCTCGATGAGACGAACACAGCGGTGGCGGAAATTTTCAAATCGGACCATAAACAAAGATTCTACAGGGTACGGGGACTAAAATTAACGTTTAAAGTGACCTTGACCTTGACCTATGACCTTGACCTCGGATTTTTTTGAATGTGCTACTGCTTCTCGATGAGACGAACACACTGGTGGTCGAATTTTTCAAATCGGACCATAAACAAAGATTCTACAGGGTACGCAGTATTTTGACCTCTCAAGGTCAAACGGTTTGACCTAGGAAAAAAAGGTCACCATTTTCGAACTCAGCGTGCCATGGGCTATCTGTATGCAAATTTTGAGCGAAATCATTACTCGAATTTGAATCCGAATTTTAACTTTTAAAGTGACTTTGACCTTGACCTATGACCTTGACCTCGGAATTTTTCGAATGTGCTACTGCTTCTCGATGAGACGAACACAGTGGTGGCCGAAATTTTCAAATCGGACCATAAACAAAGATTCTACAGGGTACGGGGACTAAAATTAACGTTTAAAGTGACCTTGACCTTGACCTATGACCTTGACCTCGGATTTTTTCAAATGTGCTACTGCTTCTCGATGAGACGAACACAGTGGTGGCCGAAATTTTCAAATCGGACCGTAAACAAAGATTCTACAGCGTACGGGGACTAAAATTAACGTTTAAAGTGACCTTGACCTTGACCTATGACCTTGACCTCGGATTTTTTTTAATGTGCTACTGCTTCTCGATGAGACGAACACAGTGGTGGCCGAAATTTTCAAATCGGATCATAAACAAAGATTCTACAGGGTACGGGGACTAAAATTAACGTTTAAAGTGACCTTGACCTTGACCTATGACCTTGACGTCGGATTTTTTCCAATGTGCTACTGCTTCTTGATGAGACGAACACAGTGGTGGCCGAAATTTTCAAATCGGACCATAGACAAAGATTCTACAGGGTACGGGGACTAAAATTAACGTTTAAAGTGACCTTGACCTTGACCTATGACCTTGACCTCGGATTTTTTTCGAATGTGCTACTGCTTCTCGATGAGACGAACACAGTGGTGGCCGAAATTTTGAAATCGGACCATAAACAAAGATTCTACAGGGTACGGGGACTAAAATTAACGTTTAAAGTGACCTTGACCTTGACCTATGACCTTGACCTCGGATTTTTTCAAATGTGCTACTGCTTCTCAATGAGACGAACACAGTGGTGGCCGAAATTTTCCGATAGCTCGAAAAATGAAGATTTTATAGGGTACGGCGATTTTTAAAGTGACCTTGACCTTGACCTATGACCTTGACCTCGGATTTTTTTTTAATGTGCTACTGCTTCTCGACGAGACGAACACACTGGTGGTCGATTTTTTCAAATCGGACCATAAACAAAGATTCTACAGGGTACGCAGTATTTTGACCTCTCAAGGTCAAACGGTTTGACCTAGGAAAAAAAGGTCACCATTTTCGAACTCAGCGTGCCATGGGCTATCTGTATGCCAATTTTGAGCGAAATCATTACTCGAATTTGAATCCGAATACGAATACGACGCTAACTTTATGGACATCTAAGACTTGAAATTTTGTGCGAAGGTTTCAAATTGATGCCCGGTAAGGTACTAAAAATTTGGCGGCGCTGCGCGCCGCCGTTTTTCGCTTTTCAAGAAAACCCACATGGGGGCCAAAATGACCTCCAATCAGGGCGCGGATTAACCTCTCTCTTTAGAAAGGCGTTACTTAATGTTTGGCCGGGGTATACCTACTAGTTATTGATACCACTGATAGGTTGATACTACTGATTGGCATTTGCAAGGGCGCAGTCAAGTTGGGACCTCCCCCGCCCCTTACAGCCATGGTAGGTGCGTATATTTTTTAGCAAAATTATTTTTTGGCAACCTTCCAAAATAAAGTGGCTGAAACCCGAGGAAAGAATAGGATTTGGGGGTAGGTAAGGTTCTGCGGGCTCCATCCTAACGAAAAACCTAATGGTATTGCCGCCCACCCCCCTTTCAGATGCCCCTGGATCCGCCTTTGCCCCGAACTTTATTCCCCCTCTCAACTTTTCCTGTAAAAGTAACCCTGGCTATAGCCAGTTGATGAATAACGGAATAAGTGTTGGCTGATAAGTCAATACAATGAACATAACCTACTCATAAAAAGTAGTGACAGTTAGATCCTAACAATAACAGCACGTATTTACTTCAGCTTTGGAATTTGTGCACTGGTACGTGATGTGATTCTATAATAAAAGTTTTAGTGAGCAGAGCCAGAAACTGCTATTGACTTCCCTTCACATATGGCAGCATTTTCCGATCAGGCTGAAGATGATATTACAATTTGACGAAGGAGCATAATCTTCGCAGTTTTGGTTGCCCCTAAGTTACAAGCCTTTAGGCTAAATACTAGATACCGTTGGTCACGTGATAACACATTATTTAGTTTGATTTTTAGTATTTTATGTGAAATAAGTGATCTATATTTCCTTAAACCTACCTTATTTGTAATAATAAGGACATATTGTAAATATCTAACACAAATAATCCATTGTATTTTGATTTATATGACAAATTGAGGCTGAGCAGTTGCATTTGTAAACCACACTACGGACTGGATGGGATCTGCCTCATTGCGCGTATTAGATGCAACCGAGACCCAAGGCGGTGGTGATTCAGTGGACACAAACAACTTCTTAAGTTATTCCACAGTTCCACAGGTTATATGGCCTTGCCACAGTTATTCGTATCTCCTACATCATATCGGTGTGTAGTTGATCGGTGTACATACATTGAAATTATTCAAAATTTCATTTAAACTGAGCCCTGAGGTACGATTGAAGCACCTGGAGTTAGATTAGAAGCCACTGGTTAAGCATTGTTTTGGGACAGCAATTCAAATTTGTGAAATTATAATTCACTATAGTGTGTTCCGTCTGTTCCATATTAAGGTTAGGTTAGGTTAGGTATATACGGAAAAGAAAGGTCCTGAGGGACCTGGGTGATTTCCGATCAGTGGCATTTCAATGTCTTCTTAGTTCCGTCTTGTTCTCGGTGACTTCGTTTCCTACTCGTCAAGCGTCTTCTTCACTGCCTTGGTCTCAGTTCGTAGACTCGGTGCGCCCAGAACTTGTCAAGTCGATTCTTGAAGGCGTTGACGCTTGGGGCAGATACAACGTCCGCTGGGAGTCCATTCCAGGCCGAGATGACGCGCGAACAGAAGGAGACTTGACGCAACTGGGTGTTGACTCTGGGCTGTCTCAGTTTCAGACCGTGGTTCCTCGTTCTCTGGGACGGTTCTCGTTCCAGCAGGTCACCAGCTGTCACCTTCAGGCGTCCCGTCAACATCAGATACACTGTGATGACATCACCCGTCAGCCTCCTGTAGTACATGCTGGGGAGCTTCAGTTCCCTGAGCCTGTCCTGGTACTCGAGATGTCGCACGGAGTGGACGAACCTTGTCGCTCTCCTCTGCACCCTCTCCACGGCGTCTTGATCACCTCTGGACGTCGGTCCCCAGACTGAGTTGGCATATTCTAGATGGGGCCTCACCATGGTCTTGAAGAGGATGGGCAGTGTAGTCTTGTCCAGTGACAGGAATGTGCGCTTGATGAGTCCAAGAATCCTGTTGGCGCGTCCCACTGCTGCTGCTGTCTGCTCATGGAACTTGAGGGTATCATCAACGAGCACCCCGAGGTCCTTCTCCTTGACAATGGTCAGCTCAGTCTCGGCCATCCGGTACTCGAAACCAGGGTTTGTGCTCCCCAAGTGCATGACTTTGCACTTACTCCTATTAAAGGGGAGCTGCCACACAGCTGACCAAGCCTCCAGTGCTGATATGTCGTCCTGGAGAAGACCTCTGTCAATGTCACTGGACACCCTCCTGTACACCTTGGCGTCATCTGCGAACAGCTTGACGGTGCTGCTGATGGCGTGCGGTAGGTCATTGATAAATAACAGGAATAAGACAGGTCCCAGGACAGACCCCTGCGGGATCCCGCTGATGACATCAGTCCACTCTGAGAAGTGTCCCTCAACAGCAACACGCTCAGCGTTAAGCTCAGCGTTCAAGTTCCTTCATCAGTGACCATCAGCAAATTCTACATTAAATAATTTGTGGCAGTGTCTATAAATGTCAGAGCTATGCTTACATATAAGTGCCATTTATGTGTTTTGTTTATGTCCATATACTACTGTGTTTATATTAATAAATGCCACAGCTATCGTACGTTACTAGCTGGCCAGCCACCTGATTTTATACATTTGTTAGTTAGGCCCAGTATCTGCCTCTGCGGACCTCCCCCAGCCACGGCATATCGTCACTTGAAGTCTCAGGCCTCTAGCGACTTCATCCTTGCTTGCTTTTGCTATGTCTGTCTTAAAGATAATGGTAAGGTTAGGTGAGGTATATTCTGTTCTTTATCTACTCGGGCTTCATATTCACATTCAGGTATCCGTCTTTGTCCCCAGGCCCTTGTTCAATGAGATAATGGTGACTTGGAGTTCCTGTGTGCTGCATCACTCCAGTTCAGCGTCCTGAGCTGCTGATCACAGATTTAAGACCAGCAGACAACAGGAGCAGTGACTGAGGCAGTCCCAGCGGCATGCTGCTGTGCAAGACACTGTTGCGCAAGGGCAGGCATTGCTGCGGTCTGCGCCTGTTGCGATGTGCTGTGACGATTGTTGCAGTAGTAGCACTTGTCATGGTGTTGTACTCTGCCTACTATCTGGGCCAGGCACACGTCATGTGAGTATCTTGGATTTTTGTGTTGTCTTCCTGTTTGTCATGTCATTCCTCTTTCCACCACAACCTTGCTTAATGAATTATAGTCTACTAATAATTTTGATGTATGGTGATTAACTGAGTAGGTACCTACATCATTTTGCAATAAATAGGTATGCTTGCTGTATCATTACATTGAACATATTAGGGTTGAAGAGGAAGTCATGTTTCACTGAACACTGTAAATGCTAATTTTGATGTGAAAATGATCAATAACATGTCTCTTTTGTTTCTCTTTGGTAAACTAAGGAACCAATACAATTTTTGGCATGTTATTGATCATTTTCACATCAATTTTGACTATAATGTCTTCACTCATGCCAACCATCCAAACGATTAAAATGCTAATTTTCACAGGCTGTTCACTAAGTTGTGAAATGAATTTTCATTTGTGATATGACCTGGATGTTCATTCTTCTCTAAACTTTGCATATTTTGTTCAACACACATTACAAATACAGTCCCAGTACTAATTCAAGATATTTTTTTACTGGGAAATGTTTTGATTCATTTCCTTTTTCTAACTATATTTCAGGTGGCTTTGTATTTCATGTATTTCAGGTGGCTTTGTTTGACTGAAATGTTCCATTCCAATGTCAGTGTTCCTTATCATAAACTCATGCAGACACATCACAACGCATGTGTACAGACACAGCACACCCTGCATGCTGACCAAGCTCCCTCCTTTCGCCCGCAGTCAGGCGATGCACCATCAGCCGCCGACAGTCCGCGTCACTTGCGGCGCACCGCCAGCAAACGGCGCCGCCTCTGCCGACGATGACGCACGTCACCGCTCGGCCGCCCGACTCCGGCTGGAGCCCAAAGTGCTTCTCTTCCTCGAGTCGCAGTACTCTGCCCGCGCCAAGGAGCTGAGCACCCTGCTGACGGCCAGTGGCATCCGCTACAAGATAGTGACGTCGGCCGCCCTGCCGACGTTCACTGCCGGCGGCCGCGGTCGGTACGGCGCTCTGCTGTTCGAGTCGTACGAACGCTACCTGGCCATGGACGCGTGGAGCCGGGCGATCGTGGACCGCTACTGCACCGACTTCGACGTCGGTATCGCGGCGTTCATGCCGGCTCGTGAGGAGAGCCTGCACGGTGCCACGCTGCCGGGCTCGGCGCTGCGCATTCACACTAACCTGGCGCTGCGGGACGCGCGACTGGATCCCGAGTCGCCGGTGCTGCGTATGGCGCGCGCCGGTGAGACGCTGTGGGGTGCCGTGCCTGGCGAGGCACATACAGTGTTTGTGCACAACCATACATCGTATCGTCCAGTGATGATGGCAGAACTGGGCGGGCCAGAGCTGGCCGCCGGTCGCCTACAGGGCGCGCCGCTCACAGTGGTGGTACAGGACTGCGGCTACCACGACGGTATCAGACGCGTGCTGTTCGGTGTCAGTCCGATGTTCTGGCTGAGTAAGCTGCTGTTGCTGGACGCGTTGTCGTACCTCTCGCACGGCCGGCTGGCAGGGGACCTGGAGCGACGCATTCTGGTCGACGTGGACGACATTTTCGTCGGCAAAGCGGGAACCCGGATGAAGCCGGCTGACGTGGAGGCGATGCTGGCCAGTCAGGAGCGGCTGCGCAGTCTGGTTCCTGGCTTCACTTTCAACCTCGGCTTCTGCGGCAAGATGCTGCACTCTGGCACAGATGAGGAAGACGCCGGCGACGATGCGCTGCTGGCGGCCGCCGACAAGTTCTGGTGGTTCCCTCACATCTGGAGCCACAAGCAGCCGCACACCTTCGCCAACCGGACCGCCATCGCCGAACAGATGGCGCTCAACAAGGCGTTCTCCGCCAAACACGGCATTCCCGTGCTGCACCAGTACGCCGTGGCGCCGCACCACAGCGGCGTCTACCCCGTCAGCGACCAGCTGTACGAGGCGTGGCGCGAGGTGTGGGATGTGCGACAGACGTCCACCGAGGAATACCCGCACCTGTACCCCGCCGGCCAGCGGCGAGGCTTCGTCTACCGCGACGTGCGCGTGCTGCCCCGACAGACGTGCGGCCTCTTCACGCACACCATTATGATAGACGAGTACCCGGGAGGACGACAGGTACTCGAGGACAAAATTCGCGGCGGTGAACTGTTTCAGACGATCGTCACCAATGCGATCTCGGTGTTCATGACACATCTGAGTAACTACGGTAACGACCGCCTGGCGCTGTACGCGTTCGAGTCGGTGGTGCGTTTCGTGCAGTGCTGGACGCGGTTGCGGCTGCAGACGGAGCCGCCCGACCGGCTGGCCGACCTTTACTTCCAGCGCTTCCCGGAACAACGTGACCCGGTGTGGGGCGTAAGTAGAAGTCGGGTTAGGACACTTAACATATTGACTACAGGACATTCCTCTCAGGCTTCATTTTGCTGAGGTGCTGTAATGGTCGGTGTTGTTTTATTAATTTATGTCGAGAATGCTGGGTATTTTACACCATTGCTTTATGTCATCATGATAAGGTGTAGTTTTGCAAATGCTGCGAGCTTTATTGCAGTTTGCGTCCGAGGAATTGGTTCAACAAGCATAATGCTGCAGCGGTTCGCGTTTTAACACCACACCCAGCCTGTTGATTGTGTCACTGGTCATTTTGCTCATCAGGTCCACTTACGAAGTACCTAATACCTCTTTAATTAGCGTTTTGAGTAAGACACGCAGAGTATCAGTAAATTCAGGTAAAGCGTAAAGCACCTTGCTGTATATTCCTAGTTTTCAGTGTGTACTTAACTATCACGTTAGCTGTCTTTGCCAGGCATTTGATGTAAGTCATCTCTTCCCGGTTACCTCGTCCCCTTTTTTAACGATCACGTTGCCTGTTGTAGATCAGCGATCACGTCGTCACGCGTTCGTTGAGCTTCCCCACCTAACCGCCTCTCTTTCTGCCACAGAACCCGTGCAAGGACCAGCGCCACCTGAATCTGTGGCGTCTGGCGGGCAACGCGTCCGTATGTGATCGGTTCCCGAAGCTGCTGATCCTGGGACCGCAGAAGACGGGCAGCACGGCGCTGCTGAGCTTCCTCAGCCTGCACCCGACGCTGCGGGCCAGCCTGCCGAGCCCGCAGACATTCGAGGAGGTGCAGTTCTTCAATGGTGACAACTACCTGCGAGGGATTGATTGGTGAGTTTGTGGGGAGGTGAAAAGGGAGTAGACCGCTAGGGCATATATTTTGGACAGCTTGCGGAGAGGGAAGAGGCTGGGGAACAGGAAGAGTGAACAAGGATGGAGGTTGTATTAGGACGTAAATTAGTGTTTAAGCGTTAGTAGTCGTAGAGGAGTTACGTGAAAAAAGGAATTTATCAGATAAGTCATGTAGTACGTCTGCGGCTTTTCGGAATTGCGTCATCAAAACTGTATAAGGATATCGAACTGTCACTAGATGTATCCTTTTGCAGTTTGCTATGAGGAAGGTTGGGTGCTGACCATTGACGCATCTTGACCTTGGAGATGGCCATTGTATAAAACTAGGTGTCGCATTTTCCTCGTGAAATTTGGATTGTGTGCGGATAATATGTGAAAGGGTCATGAACCTCTACACAAAGATGTGAATGTCCCTACTTTCTATTTTGATCGCATGCCTTATTTGGTTACATACAATTTTGAGCCATGCTATTATGCTGTAGGTACATGATGTAGTAACTGATACGATTTCTCAATTTTTATGTCTGGCAGATAGACAATGGTTCATACCTATGTGTACAAATATAGCTCCATTGTATCAATGAACTGCTTCCTAGTTTCCTGTTAGGTATTTCCTGTGTTGCATGACGCACGGTAACGCTCTGAACCTCTCCGCCCGCCCTGACGTACGTCTCTTTCGGACAGGTACCTGGAGTTTTTCCCGGTGCCCAACAGCGACTCATCGGTGTACCTCTTTGAAAAGAGCGCCACGTACTTCGATGGCGATGCCGTACCCAAACGAGTGTTTGCTCTCCTGCCGAAAGCCAAACTGGTGAGTGAAAACTCGGCCGCAAATCGCCATGGTTGGGTCGGGCGAGGGTTCTTATGGTCTGGGGAGTGCTAGGGGTATCCGACAAGTCAAGGCCATTTTAATTTCGCATTCGTCCAATGTCCTTGTTGATTAATTAGGTTGTTGGTGATTTTTAGGGGCGTATGTATATGTATACTCGTTTTGCGCAATACCAGAATGGGACGGAACAGAAGCTGCTACTGTTCGCTTGTATCGACAAGCGGCGGCTGATCCACTCAAAGCAGAAAGGTAGACGCCGTATTGTAGACGCGGATAGCTCTCTCAGTCACTCTCATGTTTCTGTTCAAGAAACGCAGCGCTTTCCCTAATCCCTAATTAGTGCATGGAATTATAACTTTTCAAAACAGACTTAAGTTAACCACCAGGAATTGCTGCCATGATAACATCTGTGACGGAGGGTTTTACTGGAGGTACCGAAGTGATATCGTTCCCTTTGAAATTTCTTGCTGGGTATACTCGGTGAAATAGCATCTGTTGATGTTGTCAAATCCCTTTCATTGCTGCGGGCTGTTTGCTATCTTGGGGCTCTTGTGATAGACTTAGAGCCTGTTGGTTCTATAACAAATTGCCAGGCTCAGTCGGCCGCAAGGCATCACGAGCAATGAGTATACTCGCTGCGGCTTTGCCCCGTTCCCCTCCCGCTTTGTTCCATCAAACGCACATTTATTGTGCTGTTATTCACCGCCCAATGCCTCAACCACGTCAGCAGTATGGTACTTTCCATTGTGTTATCGATGCAAGAACAAAGATGAGCTAACCCAAACACATTCAAAGGGTCTTTGTTCCTAACTCTTAGGGCATCTTATCAGCTTGACTTTTCGCTCTAAAGGTCAGCTTAGTTAATGGTTATGGTGTTGCCTGTAAAATTGCCCGTAATCCCTGACGCCGAACGCCTCCCGGTGCTCCCCTCTGGCGCCGGCCGCCGGCTGACTGTAGTTCGGTCCTTCGCCGCCAGGTGGTGATCCTGCTGAGCCCGGCGGCGCGGGCGTACAGCTGGTACCAGCACCAGCGCGCTCACGGCTTAACGGTGGCGCTGGAGCACTCGTTTCTGGAGGTGATCACAGCCACCAACCAGTCGGCCCGGGCGCTGCGGCAGCTGCGGAACCGCTGTTTGGAGCCGGGCAAGTACGCGGCGCACCTGGAGGCGTGGCTGCGCTACTTCCCTGCTGAGCAGCTGCACCTAACGGACGGCGAGCGGCTGCGTACGGACCCCGTCACCGAGCTGCACCGGCTGCAGGACTTCATACAGGTGAGTTCGCAGGCTGCAGGATTCCTTTATAGCCAGAATAGTCAGCCAGTCACCGGATGTAGGACTTTATTTACACAAGTGAGTCTGAGGCTACCATTTCGTGACACGTATGACGTACCATTCCGTGACATGTCATTTTGCAATATATCAAGTGCTCATGGAATTTTCATGGCATCACAATTGTTAGAAAAATATTTGAGGTTGAATTATTTCTTAATTGTTTCTGTGTGACTGTGCCACGCTACCACCTGTCATTGATCTACCGACCATCTCTTTGACTATATGATCCCTCCACAGGTATCTCCCCGGGTCAACTTCACCAAATTGATCACCTACGACGCCGAGAAGGGCTTCTACTGCCAGCGCGTGCCATCCGGCTCTGGCGGCGGCAGTCGCACTCGCTGTCTCGGCGGCGGCAAAGGCCGAAAATACGACCCAATGTCCGACGACGAGGAACGAGTCCTCAAGAAATACTTCTTCATCTTCAACCAGAGGCTGAGCAAGCTGCTGAAACGGATCGGGAAGCCGGTGCCGGACTGGCTGGTCAGAGAGCTGACTGATGTGCCGGCGACAGGGTGATGTGGGGAGGGACCAGGGGTTATGCTGGGGGCGGGGGAGGGTATCACGGGTTATAGGGAGGGTGGGGGTGCTTAGGGAGGGAGAGGAGGGTTATGACGGGTAGGGGGTGGGGTAGGTTTATATGGTGATAATGACGTGTTAGGACTTAGGTTTGACTGAGCTTCTGATGTAACTGACCAGCTGACTGACTGACGTTGTTTTATTGACTGCACAAAAGGCAAGGCGGGCAGACTGCTGAAGTTTCTAGTTGACTTTCTGCATGAACGTCTGACCGCATGACTACCCTAACCTACTGATGTCGTGGCTCGCGACCTGGGATGTTCTCTCATATCCCTTGAGATGAGGTCTACCCTAAGCAGACCACTAGATGTACCTATTAACCCTCGCCCATGTAGGGGGGGGGGGTTGGTGCAACCCCCCCCTGAGGTTTTTCGGAAATAGTGTAAAAACGGCGGCGCGCAGCGCCGCCAAATTTTGGGTACCTTATGGGGCAAGCCTTGCGCATCTTTTGATAAAAAAAAATTTGACCGGGTCATGTCAGGTCACGGAGTTATGACGTCACAAAGGGAACAGCCTCCGGCCGGATTTTCACAAACTGAGTGCCAACGCCCGAGGTTTCCTGCCGGTGGTACGGACATCGGTTGATGGATCGTGATGAAACTTCCCATGCATGTTGGGGCAAGTATTGGCTATCATATGGTATAAGAAACTTGACCGGGTCAGGTCAGGTCACGGAGCTATGACGTCACAAGAGGAACAGCGTCCGGTACTATTTTTGAAAAGCGCCCGAACCACTATTTTGCTAATTCTTGTCAGCTCAATGGGAATATGCAGCAATATTAGCTTCTATAGGGCGCAAATGGACCTCCCAAATCCAAAAATACAATCAGATTTCAAAAATTTAAATTTTTGATTTTTCGAATTTCTGCCGCCGACTGTGACCTTGCCGACTTCCGGCGCTCCCAACGCGCCATTTTTAGAGCTAGGGAAACGAAATACATACCAAACGATAGAGAATTGATCAAGGAATACGATAGTGAAGGTTTCAAGTCGATATCTCCCACCGTTTTGCCGCAATCGCCGCGGAAAGTTGAAAAAAGTCTTTTTTTCCGAAAATTTGACCTTTGACCGGTCAAAAGTAGGTCAAATGTTGACCTAGGACCAAAAAATATACCACCAATCGCGAGATCTCGGCGAGAGCAATCCGATGGTCTTTTCCGCTAAGCTCTACGACGCTCCGTTTTCAAACGCCAAGGGGGGGTCGCACCAACCCCCCCCCCTGCATGGGCGAAGGTGGCAGATCGCCGTTTACGGGCGAGGGTTAACCCTGACTGAGATATTCTGTGATCTCTCGTGAAGCATTAATCTGTGAGAAGACTAGGATGACGCATTACCTAATGAGCATTACGTAGCCACTTATCAATGGTATGGGAGGTATTTATCAGTACCTGATCCGAGTAGGTACTGGTTCTTGGCAGCACAGATCTTATAAATGAGAATCTATGCATGGCAGACGCCCCAAAGCCCTGACCCACAGGCTTCAAGTTGTCGGCGATTGCGTTTCCACTCGAGAAATGCTCCGGAGCTCAGCATGCTCGCTTTTGTGATTTCGCTTGTTTTGAGAAATGTTTTGTTGCTTTCAAAGTAACTGATCATGAGCTTCTACTCAAACTGCAGTCAGTGGTATTGCTCGTTCCCACCTGGAGATATTTAAAACATAGCTTTTCAAAATTGCATGTGAATGAATTTTCGGATGTAGGCAAGATGTGCATGAAAATGTGCATGCAAATACCATAGCCTTAAAGGGTGCTTACATATTATAGCAAGTAACCAAATTTTCTAGAAAATTAAAATACTACGTACTTTCAAACATACTAATTTGATGAGTTAATTTCCAACTTTATTTCTGAAATCACATTAAGTTTCTCGGTTACCTGCATATTATAAAATTCGCGTCAGTCGGTATTGCAGAATGCCCATTCAAATGTATGTTGTAAATTATAGATTACGCTGGCTCTAGGCTCGGCAGCTTAGGTATAGCTAACTTCTAAACGCCACCATGTGGCTCTACTGACATTGTGAAGACATCCTGGCATGTCTGACCTGATATATTGTGGCTCTGTTGAAATAACTGACTGGGGGGATCATTCACAAATGCTGCAGCTCTGGCATTATTCCAGATCTGGCACCTCAAATCGTTTGCTGCTTCACTGAGAGCGCCAAGCTCTGTTTTCGTCATTAATAGTCGTTATAATATCTTTAAGTAAGGGATAACCATCGGTGAGCGCTTTGGTGGATGTCTGGTGCCATTTAGTTCCGTGTCCAGTTGCGTGCTGTGTACGCCGGGCAGTGTGTAGGAAAGTAGCCACTATGTAGTCGGAGGATAGCGGCCTTGGGCGACCAACTGGTGCTAAGTAGAGCTGTTAGGCGGCGTGGAGGGGAGTACCAGTCGTCCCCATTTTTTCTGTCGATCTGTACGGACTCGCTCTCGTGCGTCGGGGCGTCTCATGCGCCCTCTATGTGACCGAACAGATGGTTCGGCAGCCATGTTTTTTATGCGACCTTCGCGATGTCGCTGGAGCTCGAGAGTGATAACGCTGGACCAGAAACGAGTCCGATCGATCAGAGCGATCGGAGTGGCGACCTGCATGAAGCAAGTCGCGAGCCATTAACTACACCACAGTCTTTGTTTGGACTGGATACGTGTCTGTGGGTTTATTCCCTCTTTTCAAAAGCTTTTAAGCCAATTGCTTGCCAATGGCGGAGACTGTTTCGTTCTTGCGGTAATCAGGCCGCTTTTTGTAGTTGACATAATGAATCTTTGGCAGCAATGTCCAATTGATTTACTAGGTGTTTGGTTCTGACTCGGCTTAACGCTGGGTACTTAAGTCTTCCTTTGGACGAATCTTCTACGTCGTGTTCGAAAAATATGTGTTGTAATAATTGAGCTAATAAGTGAGTGAGTAAGTGGAAATGGGAGTCAGCGAGTGACTGACGGGGAGTGTTAGCAAGGATTTGTAAAGGATTATGGTGTTTCGTGTACTTTGATCGGCGGTTAATCAATGTCATATTGTAGACTGACAACCGTGTCCCTGGTTGAACTTTCTTCTCGGTGTCCAGACTTTTCATCAGTAAACTCTGTAAGCCGGACGGTCACCGAAAGGATCTGGTGATGGTTGCTATGCCGACGAGGATGGTAGTTTCTTTGTACGATATCGCCGTGACCTCCCAGGCCAGGTCAGCCTGGATTAGGTCGTCACTTTTGGTGTATTAATGTTTTCATAATGTTCTTACACTTGTTTTCTTACGGAGTACCGGTCGAGCTAATTCTTGATATTGCTATCGAAATAGAGGGCGATTTAAGTCTGGCCGAGGTTGTGCGCTATTATCGCAGCAGCAAGCCGCCGTGCTGCCTAATGATTGATCCTGTGGCGTCATGAATGTCGCGATAGGTCGTATGACGTCATAAATATCGTGATTTGGTTTTATGATGTCATAAATGTTGCGGCCGTCACACTGTGTGTGACGTCGCGTGTTTTGGCCCGGAGGCGGGCCGAGGGCGAGCTGAGCAATACGAAGTGTGGAGTATCTAATACAGACTCACTGCCATTGTGCCATGTGCTGGGGAATGGAGGTGACGGGGGCGGGACTGGCTGTTGGGTTGGCTGTTGAGAGGACCGCTTGAAACGCGTTGTGCTGCTGGAAAGATGGGTGGGATATAAGGGATATAAGGAAAGCCGAAAGGATGATTGGAACCGTGCGCTGAAGAGCCTTGGCACGTGTTCTTTACCCGCGCCCTGCTGGGGGGTGTTTGCACACACCCCTGCGGTTTTTCGCGAATATCTTAAAAAAAAAAACGGCGGCGCTTCGCCGCCGTTTTTGGCACACCTTATACATCTTTTCTACATATGTTGTAAAAATTTCAAACCCAGGTCACTTACGGTCAGGTCACCACTCACCAGGTCAGGTCAAGTGACCTCCCCAGTAAACATGCCGACGTCGGCCCGACGTCGGCCGACGTCGGGGTGACGTCGGCAACTCGGCATCGGCATGCCGACGTCGGCCCGACGTCGGTCCAACCTCGGCACGACGTCGGCTGGATGTCGGATATGCCCGCATGTTCCGACGTCCAGCCGAGGTCCAGCCGACGTCGGGCCGACGTCGGACCGAGATCAATTGCTTAAGTCCAGCCGACGTCGGGCCGACGTCGGGGCGACGTCGGACCGACATCGGCCGCTGTTTTGACCGTTAAAATAATATAAAATACATGTTTCATGTTTCATAAAGAGCTTCTGTATTCAAAATATCCTCAGGAAACTCAAATCTTCCTCCACGCCACCACCCCCTGATCCGGACTGGACGGGAAACTTTATCCCATTTGGGATTGCCCGTAAGCCGAGCTCGCCCGTAGCCGGGTGCGGTGAGTGCTTGGGGGCTGCTCGGCCTATCCTTTGGTCAGGCTCAGGCTCAGCCCCGGCAACTCACCAGGGCCGGGCCCAGTTCATATAGAAAGGCCAGTCGGCAAGTGTCACTTTGCCAAAGTGCCACTTATCAAAGGGACACTTTGGGAAACGTTGGTGCAGGTGTGTAAGAGTGGCTATATGAATCCATTGTGGGGTCGCCCTTTCCAATAAGTGTCACGTAACAGCAATGGGACCAGGGACTCTATATTAACTGGACCCAGGGTGTTCGCCAAGAAGACCAATGTCTCCATCCTATGATCCTTCCGGCTCTGAAATGGTCTTGTCAGACCGAAAGGGCATAAGCCAACAAAACAAACCAATTTCGTTAGTTGGATGCGTGGTGTAGTGGTTAGCGCACTAACCTCGCATTCGAATGACACGGGGTTCGAATCCCATCGCCGACTGATGCTTTTGGCGTGTTGTCCCAGTAAACATGCCGACGTCGGCGACTGGGGGGCTCGAATCCCGCCGCCGGTTGATATTTTTTGGCGCGTTGTCCCAATAAACATGCCGACGTCGGCCCCGTCGGTCCAACGACAAACGATCTCGTCAA